ATTTCGGTGGCAGTTGGGATACGTATCTTCCGTTAGCGGAATTTTCGTATAATACAGTTACCACGCTAGCATAGACCGACCTCCCTTTGAGATGCTCTATGGTAGGAAGTGTAGGACCCCAATCTGTTGGGGTGAGGTCGGTTAGAGAGTTATGGGGAGTACTGAACTAGTACTCAAGACTATTGAGAGGATCTAGCAGGTCCGGAGCAGGCTCCAGACTGCTCAGAGTCGGCAAAAGAGCTACGCCGACAAGAGGCATTCAGACTTAGAGTTCCAGGTGGACGACATAGTCCTCCTGAAGGTGTCACCCTGGAAGGGTGTCATTCGGTTCCGGAAACGGGGCAAGTTGGGCCCCAGGTACAACGGTCCGTTTAGGGTTTTGGCCAGGGTGGGTCGGGTTGCTTACCGGTTAGACCTTCCAGCAGAGCTCACCCAGATCCACAACACTTTCCAGGTTTCGCAGTTGCGGAAGTGCCTAGTGGATGATGCAGCAGTGGTACCCTTTGAAGATATTCAGGTTGATGACAGCCTGAACTACATCGAGCGACCTGTAGCTATCCTTGACAGGAAGTCGAATGATTTGAGGAATAAGAGAGTGGAGTTGGTAAAGGTTCAATGGCAGCACCGCAAGGGTTCGGAGTCGACTTGGGATCCCGAGGAGGAGATGAGGGAGCACTACCCAGAGTTGTTTTCAGATGCAGCAGACTTCGAGGACGAAGTCTAAGACAAGTGGGGGAGAATTGTAACGCCTGGTTCCTGGTATGCACTTAATTCATTTATTTATGCATTTTGGAAGGGCTACTCGACGAGTTGGTGGCCCTAACTTGTCGAGTAGAAGGCAGTATATGCGTGGGTTTTAAGTGAGCTACTCGACGAGTCGAAGCCCTGACTCGACGAGTAGGACATGCTGGATGGAACCCTAATCTTTAGGGCTTGCACCCTATTTAAGCATCATATCTGGCCTCCATCCCAGCCTCCATCACCTCCAAACCCTAATCTCGAAACCCTAATCAACCTTGAGTGATCTTGAGCTATTTCTTTGCCATTGTTGTGATTTTAAGCTAGAAGAAGGAAGAAAAGGCTTGGAGTTGCAGAAGGAAGGTTGAAGATCCATAGCTACAGACTCATTTTTGTCTTCATAGAGGTATAAAGCTTATACCTTGGCAGTTATTCACTTATATCTCCTTCTTAGCTTGTATGTTGTCATTTTTGGGCCATTTCCAAGGTCAATACGAGATTTGAACCCTTGGGGATGAAAGGACTTCAGATCTAGGCACTCTTGAGCTTTAGAAGCTCAAAGTTGCCACCTTTATTCAGTTATGACACTATTCTATGACTTAGACCTTCATTTTGGCTTGGATTGGGTGTTTTAGCTTCATAACACCATGCATACACGTAAAGTTAGCAACTTTACGTGTAATGCTAGTCTAAGGAGTCCAGATCTTTGAGTTAAAAGCATTGGAATGGATTAGAATCAACTGAATGGATATGTCACATGGAGGACTCGACGAGTTGTTCTTGGACTCGGCGAGTCGGGTCGTGAACCCTAACTCCTTTTCTAGTTGTGAGTGAAACCATTGAGTTTAGGAGATGACTCAGTGAATTGGACAAGATTAGGACTCGGAAGCTGGAGAACTCGACGAGTCCAAGGAGGGACTCGACAAATTAGAGTCGATATGTCCCGATGTTATGACAGAAAGAACTCGACGAGTCTGGGAAGGGACTCGACGAGTTGACCTAGCTGACCACAGGTTTGAGTTGTTCATGAACTCGCTGAGTTAGGAGATGACTCGACGAGTTGGGGTTGACTGGGAGTTGACCTTGACTTTGACTTTGACCAGGATGTTGACTTTGACCAGGGGTAAAATGGTCATTTTACCCTGAGAAGGATTATCATATTTTGACTAAATATTATTGTGATATTGATAGTCGTTGGAGCAACTATCAGATATTCCTCACCGCGAGTTTTTGCAGACACCTTTGCGAGGTGAGTTTTCTCCAGTAGGAACGGATCTAAGGCACCAAGGCCGACCCATTTAGATAGCAGTAGTTCCGGATTCCGATCTGATGTCGGGGCGGTCCCGAGGAATGCTTGTATGCTTGTATGCTTGATGTCTTTGTGATTCTTGCATGTGTTTGTTATGTTTTTATGTGTTCCGGGTTTAGGTTCGATGTCGGGGCAAGCCCGAGGAATGTCTAGTTAATTTGTTATGATAGTATGTTCCGGTCTCCGGTCCGATGTCGGGGCGGTTCCCGAGGAATGTTAGTATGTTTCCGGATCTCGTTTCGATGTCAGGTGGGGCCCGAGGAATGTTTTCATGCTAGGGTTATGTGCTTATGTTATATGTTGTTGATATGTATATTGATGTGTTATAAGCATAACATCATTCCTATGGTGTTAATGCAACTCTAATTGCTTTGATCTAGGTTTTTCTAAGTAAACATACAACATTGAATACCAAAGCAATAAACCCTAATTGACTAGCATACAAATCTGAAATTGACATATGATTAGGGTTAGAATCATTACCTTGATTGTTATGTAGCAATAACAATCACAAACCTCCTTGAACTTGACTTATGAAAGCTTAGTGCCTCAAATGTTGCATCTCTAATGGAGTCACAAACACCACTAGCAACAAGACGACTTAGGATAGGGAGGAGGAGGCACCAAAAACGTCTAGGGTTTCTCTTAGAAGGTTAGCCTCGTTTTTGGGAGCCTTAGGGGTCCTTATATAGTTGACGCTACTAGGGTTTTCATCTTTTGAAACCCTAATCCAGCTGCTTAGGCCCTAAGCAGCCCAAAGATCCTTCCAGAAGGCCCCTTTGGACGATTTCTATATGGACTCTCATATAGAATTCGTCCATGCTTCCTTTATGGATCCTAAGCCCAACTCTGTAACTATCTTATAATTATAGTATCAGTCCCCTTTATTTAATTAATCTCTTTTAGCCACAAAATTAATTCTTAATTAATTCTTGACTAATATTAATTAAACAATATGATTTCTCTTTTAATATATTATTCATATAATATATTACTAAATCATAATTAATTCTCTTTCTCCTTAGTTCATCCTATCAGTTGCTATGGTGAAGGAAACCCAAAAGGACCATGCTCATAATCGGGTCAAGTACATACCAAAATAGTTATGGGCTTAGACACCTAATCCAACATCACATAAGTCTAATCCACTTGGATAAGTCTAATAACTATTTTGCATAGCTTCCTGATCAGCAAAGCTTTAGCTTTAAAAAGCCGCTGTCAACTCTGATCTTATCAGTAACGCGTCCTTTAGATAAGGGATCATATATTCCTCTATTCTAGATATCGTATGAACTGAGACATGGATTTAATCATACTCTCTGTTCATGTGTTGTTTCCCGATTTTCGATTTATGACGACTAACAACAGACTACAATTGAACACATCAACTTAGTCCCGACTTGGCCAAGCGCTTAGGGGTGTCACTAAATCATCGCGGGGCCCACAAATATCGCTTTTATCCCACATTGGGTAAAAGGAAAGGATAAACTTCGACTCAAATGCTCGTTTGTACTTACTCATGAAATCACACACAACAATATGGTTTATAACACCAAGTTACTGGTGCGTTTACATATTATCAATTTGCAACCGACTTGTAAATTACAACTCACACGTGATATTATCGTCTCACTAATCACTCGTGATAAAATCCATGAAGTGATTCAAGTGAGCGTGGGTTTAATCCAATACTCTAATCTTATTACATGAGCACTCATGAACATTGTAGCAGACTTTTGCTATGTTTAAAACACTTTAGACAATCTACAGTCGGTTTCATGACAATCTTCATTCATACCTACTTCCAAAGTATGATCGATTGTGGAAAGTTTGAATAATCTTATTATTCGGGAAGTCAAAACATGCAAAGTGAAACACAAGAATAATACTAATCCAATATGACCCCAAACTTTTGAGTATAAATAAAACACCTTTATTTAATCACCATATTGATTACTCATTATTCATTGTATAATGTTTCGGATAATCAACCTATTACTTGAATTATAACAACAGTTGTCCCATGCTCCAAGCATGCACACTGTGTTTACTTATGGTCCTTACCTATTGTATTAGTTTAAAATTTGATGTAAATGTTTTTGAAGAGTTTCATAACTTGTCCTCAAGTTATGGAATGTGAAAGTCTCATTCATGAAACATTAAATCCATAAGTTATGGAATTCAAAAAGTCTTGAAGAGTTACAAAACTTGCCCTCAAGTTTTGGAACTTGAAAAGTCTCATATATGAAACTTTAATTCTAAACCCTAGAATTTTAAAAGTTTAAAATTCAACCCTTATACCATTATAATATTAAAAGATTAATACTTACATATATATATATATATATATATATATATATATATATATATATATATATATATATATATATATAAGACAAGTCAGTCTTACCGTTAGTATGTCTCATTCACGAAGTCGCTCTATAAAATGGTGGTTGAATGGGTGTCCACTCTCACCCATCGCTTCCTTGATTAATGGAGGGTCGTTAGCCGAACGGGTAGGATAGGACATTAATTCTCATTAATAAGTATAATGATATTATAAAGTAACTAAACTTTTATAAATTCCAATCTTAGTTACTTTAGGAAAAATGTGAAAATGATGCTATTCAATGAAATTGCACTTTACACATTGCCAAGTCGTTAGTGGAGTCTCTTGTTCAAGTACAACAAATACAACGTGATTGATCTCCACCTACTCAAACTGAACAACGTCCTTCTGTTCAACAAATTCTTTCAAGACAAGCAACTGCTCAAAGGGAGCAATCAAAACCAAGTTGGTTTATTATCGAGTTCAGAGCTTTTTCAGGGGAACATTATCTATTCGCTGGAGTCTCTTGTTCAACTGACCTCCAACATGAGTCAGCGTCTGACCACAATAGAGATGATGTCGTTGAAATCAAACGTATAGTAGGAGCTGGCACTGAATCTGAGGATGATGGGTATCAATCATCTCCATGAAATGATCAACCACCATCTTCTGGTGCTTCTGTAGCTCCTCCAACAGGTGGTCCTTCATCCACCAGTTCCCTCTATTGCCTCTTGATCCTTCTCCATCAAATCCATCCCTCCAAATAATAATCCTATTCCTTCTCCGACTCCATAGAATCAGACTCTTGCACTTACTCTTGTTATACCCCTTCAGTCTGATGATGCCAAAAAGGGGGAGAATTTCACTGAGTCTACTGCCAATGATGACGTTGATGCTGAAATGAATACTGAGGATATTCATGATCAGTTGGATGTAGGTGATGAAGTCTATTGCATGGACTTGTCATTCTTTGATGCAGTGCCATTTCAAATAGTGTTTCCATATTCCCACGCTAACGCTGAGAGTGATAAAATACCTCAAGGGGAGGAGCAGGTTCCTCAAGGGGGGCCTAGTGACATTGAGTCAGATGAAGATGATGTTCCTCTGAGCAAGAAGTGAAAAGCCAAAATTGCTCCTGATGCTGGCCCTTCCAAAAGGAAACGCAAGGATCTTATTATGTCTGAAATGGCAAAGGTATGGGGAGTATCTATTGAAGAAGCTAGGGATTTTGCCAGGAAACACAACATCCAGTCTGCAAATCGGATGTTTCCTAGAAAAGAATCCACGAAAAATCAAGAAAATTTGATTGCTACTGGCACTATGGTTGATCAGATTGAACACCTAAAGAACTTCAACATCGAAATGTCAAAGAAGAAAAAGGCTCAGGAAAGTGCAATAACCAAACTTGAACAGAGCAGATTTGGAGATATGCTAACAAGAAGAAGTGACCCTGATCCAATCATCAAAGTGAAATGCACTAAGCCCAAAACTGAAAGAATGCTTACATTGTATATCACAAGGCGTGTTGAAAAGGGTAAAGCTGCTGGCCAATACACTGAGGTCTTATCTTCACAGGATTTGGTGAAACTTGGGTACAACGAGTGGCTGCAACTTCTAGAGTTGGTCAACAAGAAAAAAGGGAAATATTTTGAGGAACTAAGGCTTGTACTTGAAAGACTAATCACAAAGGTTAAGGATCTTGCCTTAGTGCTCAATACCTCAAATAAAACTTCCTCATCCTCAGTGTCTGCTTCAATGTCGTGGAAGAGAACTTTTAAAGATGTATAGTTTCTACTTCCTTATGGCATAAAGGTCATCAACAACTCTTTGCCAGTGGGTGTTGATCCTATTCAACACGTGTTCATTCATCAACCAGAGAATGACATCTTCTACATGGATGAATCACAACATATGTACTTCCAACACTCCAATGATCTTGCCAAGGCACCCATTGAGCACTTCGTTCATCTAAGAATTGCATGTTTGTGTCACTTGGAACTCGAAAAGAACTATCACTTTTTAATCTCTCTTGAGCTAAACAAAAGGAAGGAAGAACTTGTTATTTCTGATTATTACTGGGTTAAGCTAGAAGCTGAAGAAGATGTTGATGAGTTATATCGTCATTCAGAAGAAGAAGATTTTGGGTTTTGACATCATCAGATTGGGGGAGATCGTAAGGTCGAACCTTAGAATCCGATGAGACAAAACCAAGACACACTGACTTCATTCAACGCCAACGTCTCACCAGCACCAGCGTAAAGATCTGTTCTACGAAGCATTGTTAGTGTGTTATTGTATTACTTTGTATTTATGGTCATACACGAAGTCAATTAGCAAATCCATTATCTTAGGGATATTGGATATTTTATTATTTACGTAGATTAGGTGAGATCACTGGAATGTAGGGATTCTCACAATATTGATTTACTATAAATCCATGTATAAGGGTTCGTATCATTGGTTGATTATCGAACCCTAAGAGCTTTGTGCTTGTTCTCTTGGTGTGAACATTTTCTTAGTGAAAAGACCTTTGTGATATATCTTTGTGTTCTTTTATTTATCTTTATCTGTTAATCGACCACGATCAAGGGAACCTACAATATTGCATTTTCCCATATTCACCTTTAAACTAAAAACAATATACATGGAACTTCATGGCATATGAACTTCAAGTAACATACAACTATACCCTAACGTGGTTTTTGAAGATATGAAGGCGAATTCTTACATATGGATTAAACATCGGGCCAAAAAACACAGTTTAGGGGGTGTGTTCGGTAAAACTAGCATGTAGTTGGTAGCGTTTTGTTAAATGCTACGTGATATAGTTTTTAGATTTGCAACGTTTTGTTTAAACTAAACGCAAAAAGTTTATAGTATCAAACGATGCTTTTGATTCAAAACATAACGTTTTGTCAAAAGCTAGAAGATAGACACTACCAAACACTCCGTACTAAATATGTCATAGATCAGAGAATACAGAGCGTTTCACATTTTCTAGGCCTTTTTGTATAATCCCATGCAATCTTTAATTTGCTAGCAACTTCTCACTTTTAATAAAATAAACTTTCACGTTCAAAACAAATATGAACTTCAAGTCATCATATGTAGAATGATTTTTGGATGAAGAAAACATTAAGCCGTTTATTAATTGGCATTATCAACATATAAAATTAGAGAAATTAAATATCCTTCTATTGTTATTCCTACAAATCATCATACCAAATTAAATGATGACATGTGTCATTTTAGTTAATAAAATATCATTAAATTAGCATTAAATGTGACACGTGTCATCATTTAATTGGATAGGAAGATTTGTAGGAAGAAAAAGTTTGAGGATATTTAATTTCTCATCAAATTAAGCATAGTCATTATGTTCCATACTAAATGACGATCGATCTCTTTATTAACATTTACGAGGATTCCATGTAAACCAATATATGAGGGACATTATGCAACTTCTATTACATGATGCATAAAAAGATAATCATTCACCCTTTTCAATGTACTTGTGATTAATTTTCTGACCCTAAGATTTCCTCTTTCTTGAATTTATATATATACTCCGATTAATTATTCTATATCTACACCAATACAGCCTCCTTATCTTCCTTCAAGCTTTTCAACTTGTTATCAACAAACCGAACATAAAGATCCTTCGTGCTTGAATCGCTCTCCGGCAGCCTCACCCTACCACCTTCCGACATACTTCTTACAAAATTCACCAACTGCCGCCAGTTTTCCGCCTCAAACAACCGCTTGTTCAGTCTCAAAAACGTGAATGCACACAACCCATTTCCTGAGTCTGATCTACTCGTTGTCAGGACTTGCCCATAAGCTCCTCCGTCATATCTTTCCAAAGCATTTTCTCCGGCCAGTCCGATTCCGGCAGCTTTGACTGCCAACTTCACCTGCCGAACTAACCCTTCCGGCGAGCAATTCGCATGTTGTGGCTGCTCATTGTCTCTCATTTCCATACACGTGAAGTTGAAAACAACATCGTACTTCGCCAACATTTTGGCAATAGGCAAATACCCATCTGAATGCCGTGTGTTGTAATATCCAGCGGTTAGCTCGGCGGCATGTGACCTAGTCTTGTAGTGCCAGTGGATTCCGGCAACCTTCCCCGAAAGTTTTGCTCCGGTTCCCCGGAATATCCTGTCAGCGGACCCTAGGATTTTGTCGCCGTGTTCCAGTAGCTTCCCGGAATACCATTCCATGAAGAAACGGCCATAATCGGTGTCCCATGTCCCTTCTCTCCGGAAGAATCCGGTATCCTCCGGGAACTGGTTGTACTGGCCGGAATCATGAGGTCCACTGTTTCCCCAATCTTTCTTTCCGTTCGCATCTGCCGCAGCTTCCAATGACGCTCTCATATACTGTTAATTTCAACACGAAAACATCCGTAAGAAATTACCTTCTAATAAAGGAAAGTTAGGTTTAGGGTTAAGCCCTACGTCTAACAATTACCACAGTTAATTCACCTTATCGTAACATTGGAATTCTCCTATTCCCGGAAATTTCCACGTTCCGTTGCTTTCAGGATAAGATGGATACCTCAGCTCCCCACAAGGACCCATACCCACTTGAATTTCCTGCATATGTAAAATATATATTTTTTAAGGAAAATATCTAAAGATTAAATTAATTTAAAGCGACTCAATAAACTAAGACAATTACCACAATAACATTTCCCAAGTAATTCTTGAACCTTTGTTTGAAACTTCTCATGAAATCGGAATAAACTTGAATGGGTGTTCTTCCCCGGAGCACCGGCAATGAATCACAGCCTAAGGATAAGTACTCGGGGTTTCTACGGCCGGATCTATCAGTATAGACAAGATCGGGATTTCTGCTGATTTCTTCAAGAACCCAAGGAGGTAATGGGATGCTACAATAATGTTCAAAACCAAAGTGTAATTAAGTTTAGTTATTAATTAATTTTGTTGAAATATGTATGAAGTCGTATATAAGTTATTAATTAGTACCTGCAAGAGTCTCCAACATTGCCTCCACACTGATGAAAAGACATAACAGCTTGAAGCTTTAATCCATGCTTTTGCACCATATTCACAAGCTCAACATACCCCTCCCAGTTATACTTCAATGATCCGTCTTTTTCAACCAAACCCCACCAAACATCAACCATGACACCTTCAACACCTGCGTTTTTTAAAGCCATTAAGCTCGCGTTCATTGCCTTTGGTTTGTTCAAGTGTCCACCTAATGTCACCGTGTCAAGAGGGAGCATAACGTAGACTGGGACCTTTGAGTCATTTTGCATCTGGTGACTGCTAGATAAAGCATGAAACTTCTCCTTTTGTGCATCATACATCCCTTCAAAAGATGATATCATCTTTTCACCAGATAATTGAGCATCTTGTATTGAATTTTTTGTTCTCAAACGACGTGTTGTAGGCTTGATTTGTGCAAAACAAATGGTGGTGAAGAAATCTACGTCGAGGGTTTTCAGAGTCTTGATGTCCTTTAAATTTAAGAAAGTAGAAGAACGAAGAGTTAAAGCCATTTTGATTTTTGGGTTTCTTGAAAGAAAATGAAGAAGATTTGTGGGAATGGACGAAGGGTATGAAGGTGTTTTATAAAGTGAAATTTGGGTAGAAAACAATATTTGTGGGGTTGTTTTAATTGGAAAAAAGTGCAGAAATTTTCAAAATTAGTTGGCCTGTATTTTCAAGAGATGCGTATGCAGTTGGTTGATCAATACAATTTCCTTTTATCGTTTTTTTTTTTAAATATCTTCTTATATTTATTAACTATGGGTTGTTTGATAAAATGAAATAATAAATCTGTCGATCCATTGAAATAAACAAAGTTACTGTGTGTCTTGACTAAATGACAGAAGACATCCTTTGAACTGTCATGAAAAGCCACAAGTTATTAAATATTTCATCATGAATAAAGTGAGCAAATTATAACCGGTGTTATTAGTATATATACATTTCATTTATATAAATGGTCAAATTATGAAGATACACATACTTACCAATCCATTAATGAGGGTATATAAAGCAATTGCTTGTATGTATAGATTTATCCATTATAATAACTTCATTGTATTTCCATAGTATTTAATAACACTTTTTTTCTCTATAAACTATAATTAAGTTCTTGTTATATGTTTCGAAGATGGTTAGAAATAAAATTTTCTTACTATTGTTTAAGATTTCAATGAAATTTTGATATTGTTAGGAAATGATACGACACTTATCAAGAATCAAAACAGATCTGATGTCACTTGTCAAACTTTGATAACATTGTTAGGAAGTAATGCGGATAACACACGATACCAAAAGCATACAAAGACACATTATTTACGTTGTTCGGTCAATGTGACCTACGTCCACGGGCACGAAGGGAGTATTCTTATTCATAGAGTTCTAAACAGAGATTATAAGTACAACCAACAGAGAATCACATACTCAATAAGGATACAAGAATAAAAGATACAAAGATCAAGACCAAAGAATGACTTAGGAGACATCCCTATTTATATACTAGGGATTAGACTAAAACCCCAATGGATCAAGCCCATCAATCCATAGGCTCATGAAAGGTCTCAACCAATCAAATTTTGACATACATCTGCTTCTAGAACCTTCAACCATCAGAGACATTGCAATGGCACCAACCATGCACATGATGACGCATCATGTGCCAGTACTAGCGCATCAAGTGTCATGATGACGCACAAAGTGCCATGATGGCGCATCAGGTGTCATTGAGTAGCACACATTGTCACTTGGTGGCACATCTTGTACATGACA